CTATATGGGGGATGAATTACTATATGGGGGATGAATTACTATAGGGGGGATGAATACTATGGGGATTAATTATATGGGGGATGAATTACTATATGGGGGATTTAATTACTATGGGGGATTAATTACTATGGGGGATGAATTACTATATGGGGGATGAATTACTATAGGGGTGAATGAATATATGGGGGATGAATTACTATGGGGGATGAATTACTATATGGGGGATGAATTACTATAGGGGGGATGAATTACTATATGGGGGGGATGAATTACTATATGGGGGATGAATTACTATGGGGATTAATTACTGTATGGGGGATGAATTACTATGGGGGATGAATTTACTATGGGGGATGAATTACACTATATGGGGGATAAATTACTATGGGGGATGAATTACTATATGGGGGATGAATTACTATGGGGGATGAATTACTATGGGGTTGAATTACTATATGGGGGATTGAATTACTATGGGGGATGAATTACTATGGGGGATGAATTACTATATGCATGGGGGATGAATTACTAGGGGGGATGAATTACTATGGGGGATTAAATTACTATATAGGGGGGATTGAATTACTATGGGGGATTAATTACTATATGGGGGATTAATTACTATGGGGGATGAATTACTATATGGGGGATGATTGATTTACTATAGGGGGTATGAATTACTATAGGGGGGATGAATTACTATGGGGGATGAATTACTATATGGGGGATGAATTACTATAGGGGGGATGAATTTATATGGGGGGATGAATTACTATCATGGGGGGGATGGGAATTACTATTGGGGGGATTAATTACTGTATGGATTTCGAATGAATTACTATGGGGGATGAAAATTACTATGGGGGATGAATTACTATGGGGATAAATTACTATGGGGGATGAATTACTATATGGGGGATGAATTACTATGGGGGATGAATTACTATGGGGGGATGAATTACTATGGGGGATGAATTACTATGGGGATGAATTACTATATGAGGGATGAATTACTATGGGGATGAATTACTATATGGGGGATGAATTACTATGGGGGATGAATTACTATATGGGGGATGAATTACTATGGGGGATTTATACTATGGGGGATGAATTACTATATGGGGGATGAATTACTATATGGGGGATGAATTTATATGGGGGATTATTACTATGATTTACTATGGGGGAATATTACTCTATTTACTTACTATGGATGACACATACACATCATTCATCTACTCTTGGTCCGGCCCCCCCCCGGGTCCATGATTTTTATATGAACCCATTGCGGCCCTCAAGTAAAAAAAGTTTGCCCAACCCTATGGGCTTTCCCCTCTTCAGTCTATCATGAATGCTGCTGCCAGACTCATCCACCCTACTAAGGATTCTATATCTGCCACACCCCTCTCTGCCAATCCCTCCACTGGCCTCCACTCAGTGTCCTCCATCCCTCTCTGCCAATCCTTCCACTGGCCTCCACTCAGTGTCCTCCATCCCTCTCTGCCAATCCTTCCACTGGCTTTTAATCCGGCCCGCGGAGCATGATACTGTCAGGATGGCTGTCAGGATATGTGTGTGTGTAGGCGGGGGCAGCGTGACGAACGTGAGGGGAGCTAGGCTCCTCTCACAGTCCGCCCTGAAGACCGGTGTAGCATGAAAATCTGTCTCCTATGAGGATCTGTCCCCCTCGACGTATCTGCGCATGTGCGGAGATCGCCGATTGGGCTGCTAATGGCCTGAAACTGGCACATGCGCAGATAAGTCGAGGGGGGACAGATCCTCATAGGAGACAGATTTTCATGCTACACCGGAACGGCGCGGGAACACGGTAAGTGAATTGACACAGGGGGGACTTGGGAACATAATATGGGGGATGAATTAATATGGGGAATGAATTACTATAGGGGAATGAATTACTATAGGGGGGGATGAATTACTATATGGGGGAATGAATTACTATGGGGGATGAATTACTATATGGGGGATGAATTACTATGGGGGATGAATTACTATGGGGGATGAATTACTATATGGGGGATGAATTACTTATATGGGGGATGAATTTACTATAGGGGGGATGAATTACTATAGGGGGGATAATTACTATGGGGGATTAATTACTATATGGGGGATTAATTACTATGGGGGATGAATTACTATATGGGGGGGATGAATTACTATGGGGGATGAATTACTATAGGGGGGATGAATTACTATGGGGGATGAATTACTATATGGGGGATGAATTACTATATGGGGGATGAATTACTATATGGGGGATGAATTACTATGGGGGGGATGAATTACTATATAGGGGGGATGAATTACTATGGGGGGATTAAATTACTGTATGGGGGATGAAATTACTATGGGGGATGAATTACTATGGGGGATAAATTACTATGGGGGATGAATTACTATATGGGAGATGAATTACTATGGGGGATTAATTACTATATGGGGGATGAATTACTATGGGGGATGAATTACTATGGGGGATGAATTACTATATGGGGGATGAATTACTATGGGGGATGAATTACTATGGGGGATGAATTACTATATGGGGGATGAATTACTATGGGGATGAATTACTATATGAGGGATGAATTACTATGGGGGATGAATTACTATGGGGGATGAATTACTATGGGGGATGAATTACTATATGGGGGATGAATTACTATGGGGGATGAATTACTATGGGGGATGAATTACTATATGGGGGATGAATTACTATATGGGGGATGAATTTACTATGGGGGATTAATTACTATATGGGGGATTAATTACTATGCTTACTATGGGGGAATATTACTATACTTACTATGGATGACACATACACATCATTCATCTACTCTTGGTCCGGCCCCGGGTCCAATATATGAACCCATTGCGGCCCTCAAGTAAAAAAGTTTGCCCACCCCTGGGCTATCCCCTCTTCAGTCTATCATGAATGCTGCTGCCAGACTCATCCACCCTACTAAGGATTCTATATCTGCCACCCCTCTCTGCCAATCCCTCCACTGGCCTCCACTCAGTGTCCTCCATCCCTCTCTGCCAATCCCTCCACTGGCCTCCACTCAGTGTCCTCCATCCCTCTCTGCCAATCCTTCCACTGGCCTCCACTCAGTGTCCTCCACCCTCTCTGTCAATCCCTCCACTGGCTTCCCGTTGCCCAACGGATAAAATTTAAAACATTAACAATAACATATAAAGCCATTTATAACTCCGCCCCAAAATACATCACCGATCTCGTCTCCAAATATCACCCAAACCATACACTCCGCTCCTCGCAAGACCTCCTTCTCTCTAGCTCTCCTTGTCTCCTCCTCACATGCTTGTCTCCAGGACTTCTCCAGAGCTTCCCCCCTCCTCTGGAACTCTCTACCCCAATTTATCAGACTATCGCCTACTCTGCTCACTTTTAGGCGATCTCTGAAAACCGATCTCTTCAGGGAAGCCTATCTTGCCCTCAGCTAATACTGGAATCTTCTATTCCTCCTACCAGACCATCCCCCACAGTTACTAGCTTTTGTACCACTAGCCCCTCCCTCCTAGATTGTAAGCTCCCAGGATCAGGCCCTCCTAACCCTCTTGTATTGTACTGTATTGTTGCTGTATTGCCTCCCGTTATATTGTAAAGTGCTGAGCAAACTGTTGGCGCCATAAATCCTGTATAATAATAATCTAGCACTGAGATGGAAGTCCTACATGTCACCATTGGCATGTTGGGGTGGTGCATGGGGGGACCAAAGGCCACCAGTTTTATATGATGATTTTAACAAAGTGTTGCATGATGGAATTACTCTTGTGTAATGTGTGAGTTAGCACCCCTTGTGGCTGGAGGTCAAAGTGCTATTCTAAGCCGCACACCGGATGCATAAGTTCTTTTCACCTGTCTTGGCACTTACTATAAAGTCATTTCAAGGGAAAGGGTGCGAAAAACCAGTTTTCCTTCACCAGGTCTTTACACTTACTCTCCAACCCAAAGACATAGAGGGAAGCTACTGTATACTTTGCAAAGCCTAGCACACTCGTGGTCCAGACCCAGTTCATAGGAGGGTTCCTCTATGCAGCAGGCTCTGATTTTGGGTCCCATCCGCTTAGACCATATAGCATCCCATCCACTCACCAATCCCTGCCCAGCACTGCCTGCGTTCCTGAACTGGCTGCTTTTCCTTCCTTTTACTGATTATCAAGGCTTTCTTCTCAGAGAATAGATGAAGGAACTCCCCCCTTCTGAATCACCCCTTGTCTCTGCTCCCTACACACCTATGAGCACCATCCTTTCCACTGCCTGCCCACCTACCAGTACCCCCCTTTTAGTGAATACAGAACCAAGTATTTTGTGGTGTTAAGTAATTTGTATAAAATATAAAAATGAAGGAACGCTATCATTGTTTAAGCATTACAAAGAATATAACAGAATATGTAAAAAGGAAATCAAGGGAGCAAAAATTGAAAACGAACGACCGATTGCAAAAGATATCAGGACCAACCCCAAAAAATTCTTCCAATATATGAATAGTAGAAAGGTCCGGTCCCAGCATGTAGGCCCTTTATAGAATCATCTAGGGGGGGGGACTGAGGACAAAGAGAAGGACAATGTATGAAATCCCTTCTTCAGCTCTGTGTATACAAAGGAACATTGGGGGCTCTTGTCCATAATGGGCGTGGTACTGACACAGCCCCAGATGATTCACATTGGCTCACAATTGATATGATCCAGAAATATTATAGAATAGAATAAAGGTGAATAAAGCCCCTGGACCGGATGGCGTACACCCACAGGGCCTTAAAGATTTGAGCTCTGTCATTTCAAAGTCATTGTTTCTCATTTTTAGGGACTCTTTAACCACTTCCAGTCCGGACGCTTTCCCCCCCTTCCAGTCCGGACCCTTCCCCCCCTTCCAGTCCGGACACTTTCCCCCCCTTCCAGTCCAGACCCTTCCCCCCCTTCCAGTCCGGACACTTTTTCCAGTCCCCCTTCCCCCCCTTCCAGTCCGGACACTTTCCCCTCCTTCCAGTCCCACTTTCCCCCCCTTCCAGTCCGGACACTTTCCCCCCCTTCCAGTCCGGACCCTTTCCCCCCTTCCCCCCCTTCCAGTCCGGACACTTCCCCCCCCCCAGTCCGGACACTTTTCCTTCCAGTCCTATATGTCCGGACACTTTCCCCCCCTTCCAGTCCGGACACTTTCCCCCCCTTCCAGTCCGGACACTTTCCCCCCCTTCCAGTCCGGACACTTTTTCCCCCCCTTCCAGTCCGGACACTTTCCCCCCTTCCAGTCCGGACACTTTCCCCCCCTTCCTGTCCAGGCCAATTTTCAGCTTTCAGCGCTATCACACTTTGAATGACAATTGCGCGGTCATGCAACACTGTACCCATATGACTTTTTTACCATTTTTTTGAGACAGATAAAGGTTTATTTTGGTGGTATTTATTCACCGCCGGGATTTTAATTTTTTTTGCTATGTAAATGAAAAAGTCCAAACATTTTGAAAAAAAGTGTTTTTCTTATAAAATTTTGCAAATAAATAATCTTTCATCATAAATCTCGGCCAAAATGTATTCCATTATCTTTTTAGTAAAAAAAAATAATAAGCCAAATTAGTTTATAACCAAAAATTATAATTTTTAAACATTTTTTACATTTTTATTTTATTTTTTTATATTATTATTTATGTGTTTTTTTTTTACATACTGTCACCCTAGCAGTACAGTGACACCATGGTGACACTGCACTACTTGTGGGGGGTGATGAAGATTTTTTTTTTTTTTTACAGTGATTACTTTTACACCCATATAGGATGTAAAAGCAATCATTTCTATTTCTCTCTGTCTGCATTCTTGCAGCCATGGAGAACTAATGAGTGAGCTGTGATTGGTCACAGCTTGTCACATGGTACAAGGCTGTTGTGAATAGCCCTGTACCATGTGATCTCTGTGATCATTCACAGATTTCACACGTAGTAAGCAATGATGTCACAAGTGACATTTTGCTTACTACTTTGCATGTGATCACTGATTGGCAAGTGGTTAATGACTGGCATAGTACCACTGGATTGGCGTAAGGCCAATGTGGGGCCAATATTTAAAAAGGGGTCAAAATCTTTCCCAAGTAATTATAGACCTGTTGGTGTAGCTTCTATAGTTGGGAAGATACTGGAGAGTTTTCATAAAAGACCACATAGATGAGTTCTGGCTGGAAAAAAATATTTTAAGCAACGGACAGCATGGATTCATGAAAGACAGAAGTTGTCAAACAAATCTGATTGCTTTTTATGAGGGTGTAAGCAAAACCTTGGACAGAGGGGTGGCTGTGGACGTGGTATACTTGGACAGAAGGGTGGCTCTGGATGTGGTATACTTGGACAGAGGGGTGGCTGTGGATGTGGTATATTTGGACAGGGGGGTGGCTGCGGATGTGGTATAATTGGACGGAGGGGTGGCTATGGACGTGGTATACTTGGACAGAAGGGTGGCATGGATGTGGTATACTTGGACAGAGGGGTGGCTGTGGTATATTTGGACAGGGGGGTGGCTGCGGATGTGGTATAATTGGACGGAGGGGTGGCTGTGGACGTGGTATACTTGAACAGAAGGGTGGCTGTGGACAGGTATACTCTGACTGTCTTTCACTCGTTTTGCATTTGGCTAGGGTCAGTGTCACTACTGGTAGCATGAGGTCATACCTGGACACTACAGAGGTTGCACAGGCAGTCCAACTCCTCCAGGATGGCACATCAATACGTACCATTGCCAGAAGGTTTGCTGTGTGTCCCAGCACAGTCTCAAGAGCATGGAGGAGATTCCAGGAGACAAGAGTATGGAGGAGATTCCAGGAGACGAGAGCATGGAGGAGATTCGAGGAGACAAGAATATGGAGGAGATTCCAGGAGACGAGAGCATGGAGGAGATTCCAGGAGACAGGCAGTTCCTCTAGGAGGGCTGGACAGGGCAGTAGAAGGTCCTTAACACATCAGCAGGATCTGCTCCTTTGTGCAAGGAGGAACAGGATGAGCCCTGCCAGAGCCCTACAAAATGACCTCCAGCAGGCCACTGGTGTGAAAGTCTTTAACCAAAGAATTAGAAACAGACTACATGAGGGTGGCCTGAGGGCCCGACATCCTCTAGTGGGCCCTGTGCTCACTGCCCGGCACCATAGAGCTCAATTGGCATTGGCCATTGAACCCCAGAATTGGCAGGTCCACCACTGGCACCCTGTGCTTTTCACAGATGAGAGCAGGTTAACCCTGAGCACATGTGACAGACGTGAAAAGGTCTGGAGAAGCCGTGGAGAACGTTCTGCTGCCTGTAACATGGTTCAGCATGACCGTTCTGGTGGTGGGACAGTGAATGTCTGGGGCAGGGGCGGACTGACAACTCATGGGGCCCCCGGGCAATAGGGGATCATTGGGCCCCTGTGTCCTTGCCCAAACTCCAAAAAGCCTATGAAAAAGGTACCAGGGGCATCTCACGGGGCCCCCTACTGACCCTGGGCCCTCGGGCAGTGCCCGAGTTTCCAAATGGTCAGTCCGCCCCTGGTCTGGGGAGGCATATCCACGGAGGGACGCACAGACCTCTACAGGCTAGACAATGGCACCCTGACTGCCATTAGGTATCGGGATGAAATCCTTGGACCCATTGTCATACCCTACGCTGGTCCAGAGCAGGGGCGGACTGACCATTTGGAAACTCGGGCACTGCCCGGGGTCAGTAGGGGGCCCCGTGAGATGCCCCTGGTACCTTTTTAATAGGCTTTTTTGAGTTTGGGCAAGGACACAGGGGCCCCATGATCCCCTATTGCCCGGGGGGCCCATGAGTTGTCAGTCCGCCCCTGGTCCAGAGCAATACAAAGCAGCATGTCGGTGCTGACAGAGGAGAGATCTGTATTGCTTATACACTCTTGTCAGAAACCAGTAAATATAATCTACATATCTTTTTGTCAGGAAGCTGTGAAACTAATAAATATATCCACATGGTCTTCTTTTAGAGAAGCTAGAAAACCAGTAAATGTATCCACAGTCTTCAGGTGAAGAAGCTATGAGATCAGTATAAGTCCAAGAAGAATATCTTCAACCTGTGCTTGTGAAGAATATACACTCACCAGCCACTCTATTGATTCCACCTTGCTAGTCCCAGGTTGGACCCCCTTTTGCCTTCATTCTTGGTGGCGTAGATTCAACAAGGTGTTGGAAACATTCCTCAGAGATTTTGGTCCATATTGACATGATGGCATCATGCAGTTGCTGCAGATTTGTCGGCTGCACATCCATGAACCGTTGATACAAGGCAGGATGGATCCATCACACCATCACACCACCACCACCAGCCTGAACCATTGATACAAGGCAGGATGGATCCATCACACCATCACACCACCACCACCAGCCTGAACCATTGATACAAGGCAGGATGGATCCACCACACCATGACACCACCACCACCAGCCTGAACCATTGATACAAGGCAGGATGGATCCACCACACCATGACACCACCACCACCAGCCTGAACCATTGATACAAGGCAGGATGGATCCCCCACACCATGACACCCCCACCAGCCTGAACCATTGATACAAGGCAGGATGGATCCACCACACCATGACACCACCACCAGTCTGAACCATTGATACAAGGCAGGATGGATCCACACTTTCATGTTTACCCCAAATTCTGACCCTACCATCTGAATGTCGCAGCTGAAATCCAGACTCATCAGACCAGGCAATGTTTATCCAATCTTCTATTGTCCAGTTTTGGTGAGCTTGTGTGAATTGTAGCCTCCGTTTCCTGTTCTTAGCTGACAGGAGTGGCACCCGGTGTGGTCTTCTGCTGCTGTAGCCCATCTGCTTCAAGGTTGGATGTGTTGTGCATTCAGAGATGGTATTCTGCATACCTTGGTTGTAACGAGGGGTTATTTGAGTTACTGTTGCCTTTCTATCATCTGGAACCAGTCTGCCCATTCTCCTCTGACCTCGTGACATCAACAAGGCATTTTCCTCCATTTTCCTCCACACAACTGCCGCTCACTGGATATTTTCTCTTTTTCGGATCATTCTCTGTAAACCCTAGAGATGGTTGTGCGTGAAAATCCCAGTAATTCAGTAGATTTGAAATACTCTGACCAGCCCGTCTGGCACCAACAACCATGCCACCTTCAAAGTCATTTAAATCCCCTTTCTTCCCCATTCTGAGGTTTGAATGTCAGCAAGTTGTCTCCACCACATCTAGATGCCTAAATGCATTGAGTTGCTGCCATGTGATTAGCTGATTAGCCATTTATGTGACCAAGCGATAGAACAGGTGGACCTAATAAAGTGGCCGGTGAGTGTTTATATCCAGTGGAGAAACTATGAAACCAGCAAATTTCTTCCCATAGACTTCAAGTGATGAAACTGTGAACCTGGTACATTTATCCACATAGTCTTCTTGTAGAGCAGCTATAAAACCAATAAATATATCTAGAGATTCTTCAAGTGGAGAAGCTATGAAACCAGCAAATGTTGTATATCCAGGTAGTCCTCTCGCAGAGAAGTCTGGCACCTTGGTTCTTGAAACGGATGACCACTAGTGGAGAGATAAACCCCTTGGACCGTTCAGGATTGAAGTTATGAAATGTTGCACTAGTGGGCTAGTCCTTGTGTGAGTAGCAATGCCCCAAATGTGTTCCTCTAATCTACCGGGCAACTCCCGATCCATCTAGGCCACTTATAGCTCACAACACGGGTGACCACTAGTGGAGAGATAAACCCCTTGGACCGTTCAGGATTGAAGTTATGAAATGTTGCACTAGTGGGCTAGTCCTTGTGTGAGTAGCAATGCCCCAAATGTGTTCCTCTAATCTACCGGGCAACTCCCGATCCATCTAGGCCACTTATAGCTCACAACACGGGCAACAGATCTGATAATTTTTAAATTATTATCAGTGTCACTGTAGGTAGGATAAAAAAAATCAAAATGCGCCCTATTGTTTCTGTGATGTACTACGGGTACAAACAACTAACATACACCTACTGTATGTGGTATCGCTGCAATCGTCAAACACCCCCACCCCATAATCTCCTCTCCACCAAACTGTACACTTGGCACAATGCAGTCAGGCAAGTACCGTTCTCCTGGCAACCGCCAAACCCAGACAAGTCCATCGGATTGCCAGACAGAGAAGCGTGACTGGTCACTCCAGAGAACACACCTCCACTGCTCTAGAGTCCAGTGGCAGCGTGCTTTACACCACGGCATCCAACGCTTTGCATTGCACTTGGTGATGGAAGGCTTGGATGCAGCTGCTCGGCCATGGAAACCCATTCCATGAAGCTCTCTACGCACTGTTGTTGGGCTCATCTGAAGGCCACACCAAGTTTGGAGGTCTTTAGCTATTGACTCTGCAGACAGTTGGCGACTTCTG